TTGGTTCCATGGCGTATTAAAGCTGACTTAACTCTACTAGAAGTCCGTGACTATACTTACTGCAATTAAAACACATCGATGGTACAGCAAGGTTTTTATAGAACAGATGAGAACTGTGTATCTCCTGAGCTGTTTAATTATTCATGAATATGCTGCTTCCATAGTGATAGTGTGAATAATTAAAAACGTACATGACAGACAATTGATTCGGTGGGTGAACAAAGATGAGCTCCTTAGGTCAATAAATATTAGCTTTCTAATTCAATTCATAATTCATATTTTATTTCGTAGCGTCCCATCACAATGGTGTCTACCCACATTACTCTTCGTTTATGTAGACAAATATAGAGAGTGTTGAAAACTGAATGTAAAATATACCCGTCGAGATCCAAGTATAATTGCCGGGAAAATGTCTTGAGCACAAATAACACTGTGGTTCATATAATGTGTTTATGTCACGTGGTCATGGGACTGCGCACACTTCGAGTACAGAAAGTCATAACATTTTGACTTTTTACAACTATGTCATCTGTATCACAAAGCAGTTATGTTCAAAAGTTGTTGAACACCTGACAGTAATAGCGCTACCGTGGAATAACGCTATTAATAAGGTCTCTCAGAAAAAAAACTTCAATGTTTAAATAAGATCATTTGGGAAAGACTTTCTGTTGACAAGCCGTTCTCTAAATAAGACATTCCCATGGAATGCGCTTTGCAAATAAGACTTCTTTTTGAAATGTATTTCACTAAATAAAAACTCCCCATGGAATAACAATTATTAAATAAGACCACTACTTGAAATATCGTTCTCTAAATAAGACTTCTACTTGGATACCGTCCTTTCAATAGGGTCTCTATTTGAAATGGCGTTTTTTTTAAATACGAACTCTCTTAGAAACACCTCTCTAATAAGACCTATACTCTGACATGTAGTTGTCCAAATGAGACACCGCCTTTTTGGAATACCGTTTCTTAAATAAAATCTCTCTTTAGAATTTCGATTTCTAAATAAGACCTTTCCTTGTATTACCGTTCTCCAAATAATTCCTTTCTTTGAAATACCGCTCTCTAACTTCAATTTATTAAAGCGCGCTTAAAACTATTCGGAAGGGTTGTTGCATTAAGTCTGGTGGAGAAGTTTGAAGCTCATACGAAAACAAAAATGAAACTATAATTAGGATCGATACGCTCCTCACTCAGTTTAACCGATCAATGTTGTTGAGAGGTAATACTAAGGAATACCATCAAATAACATGTCCAGCAAAGTCAAAACGATACTGCGTCTTCAATATAAAGAATATGTGTTTTAATCTTGCATGGGTAAAGTATAACAAATTCATTTAACTGCAAAGAGCAACATTAAAATGTGCAAATGTCTTGGGGGATCTTCGTGGAACAGTGGATAAGAAACATTATAAATATTGCAAGAATTCCCCATATCTTAGATAAGCTGAACTCGTAATATGACAGGTGTAGTAAACTGGGACGGAATGTCTAATTGATTAGGTGATCATGTATGTAGGACAACCCAATCCAATCAATGTAACCGATGTGTGCATATTTATATTCATGACGATACTAATACGAATCATGTCAAATAATTAATTAATTAATTTGATAGCTGGTACACATCCCGCAATCGGAAAAATCACATTCCGTACTTTGACTTAATCTGAGTGAATGAGTGCACTTTAAACGCACTGCTCTAAAGCTGTGAACAATAAAAGTTAAGCAAAGCAAACGTCACAAAACAGGAAGTTAGGTCAGGGGTGTTCACTAGCTTAATTGAACAAGTACACATTTATTGAACGTAGTCCATATATAAACAGATGAAACCATTCATTACTCTTATAGAATGTATCAGCGTTGTAGCAGCCTAGAATTAGGGTAGGAATGAGCCATTATCTAAGTCTTAATGAGTCTTAACGCATATTTCTACATACAAATTATTAGAAATTTCAAGACAACTACTGTAACAAGTCAGTAGTTATTAAAATAATACATCATGTGTTCACTATGCATTTTATTACAAGGTTGGGAAATTATACAAATCACTCGTCGTACTGCCTCTTCATATTGGCAAAATAGATATTGGCAAGATATTGTGTGAGGCGAAGGCGAACCCATCATCGTGTCTAGACCCTTCGAATCCATTATGACTTCATGGAGGATTCATTATTGTTGTTATAAATCACCATCATCAGAATTAAACACATTCAGTTAAATGTGTATGTTTTTTTAAATGAGTTTACTTGGGAATAACGGTTCACAGATAATATAAAGCTATGACGTCATGAAAACCTCTAATTCTGGTAGAGCTGAATTATATAATATTTCTTTTGATTTATAACATATAATAATGTTCAGCATCGTCTCTTATTTAATAAATAATTTCAATACGACTCCTGTTTTTCCTAAATAACAACATTGCAATTAATATAGCATTAGCAAAAAAAATGATGAAACAGAAACACATATTGTATTCAGTTGATATTCTAGTCATCATATTCAATTTAACTGTTTTTATTTTCTCAGATAAATTTTGATAAACGTATTTCACAATTATTTTGCATGTTGATGTTGTGCTGTACATATATTACGAAGATAAAACTCGACGTACCTATCATGATTTATTGAAGTAACAACAGAAAGTTCATTCTCTAAGTGTGTCTTATCTAAGATATATACGAATACAGTAGTACAAATGCCGTGCCTATGCTTGTATAAGGGGTTACATGACAGACAATTGTGCATACACGACTATGTCACTATTGGTCGTAGCAAGAAAGCAAAGTCAGATAAGAAGAAACCGAGACGCGATCGTATAGCCTACAGCGTTAAAACGTCATGTACAATTCAACTTGAAGTCTCACAAAAACAGTATTTTCATTAGTCGGTATAAAAAAATAAGGCAAATTGGCGACTTTAGACAAACTTAACATTTGTACGGCATATACACTTATCATATCTAAACTTTCAGATGATATATATATGTTGTCATAGTAAAATGCTCTCTGATGACAATCATTTCATTGACCCCAACGCTATGTAAGTATGAGTTGGTGTAGGTAGGCAGTCAGGTTATCCTTATATCTACACCCATTCCAGATGTGGTCTCTCTCTTTTAGATAAGTTTTCCCATAAATCATATCAATGTATTAAAGCAGGCATACATTTTTATAGATTTGTACCATGGGATTCAATTGTGACTGACGAAACCCAATTAGTTTTTGTTCTGTCTAAACTATCTATGATTGAGTTTAGAGTAATAACCTATCCACTTCTTTTACGTGTACATAATTCATTTTATATGATTACGTTTTTATACTTTTTTCTTTCGGTTTCCCTCGATAACACTTACTC